GTGTGCACTAGTATTGAGGATGAGACCCCTGTGTCTGAGTTACCATCTGTCATTGACTATGTGGAAAAATCTGATTCCAAGCCTGAAAGTTCATTATACAGTGGAGATAAAGAACAAGCATTACGATGGTCATCACAATAAAATGTAACTCGAGATGAACTAATCCGAGGACAGCAGTCGGATTGCACCCTCCAAGATCTGTTTTCTTTGGTGAAGGAAGGAAGAGGTGAACAGAATTCACTTCCTGTCTACTTTCTTCGGGACGGATTGCTCTGTAGGCAACAACCTATGTGTTCTGACATTTTAATTGACCCTAGGATTCAAATTGTGGTTCCTGTTACTTTTCGTCAAGCTGTCCTGCAGTTATCTCATGAAGGTGTTGCTGGTCATATAGGTGTACGAAAGACCTACAGAATTTTGAGAAAATTGTATTGGCCTAGAATCAAGCGAGATGTAATTAATTATATACAGTCTTGTCATATGTGTCAAATGACCGGGAAGCCAAACCAGAAAATTCTGTTGGCTCTGTTACAGCCTATTGCTGCTGTTACAACTCCTTTTGAACATTTGATCATCGATTGTGTTGGTCCTTTGCCACGATCTAAAGCTGGACATGCTTATTTATTGACGGTAATGTGTCAATCCACACGCTATCCTGCAGCCTATCCCTCGAGATCAATTACTACTAAATCGATTTTAAAAGCTCTAACAAGCTTCATGTCTATTTTTGGCATCCCGAAAAATATTCAGTCTGATCAAGGCTCGAACTTCATGTCTCGTCATTTCTCTAAAGTCATGCGACAACTTAAAGTAACACATAACATCTCAAGTGCTTATCATCCTCAGAGTCAGGGGCGCTAGGAAGATTCCATCAGACCCTGAAATCACTTTTGAGATCTTATTGTGTTGAACTTGACTGTGACTGGGAAGAGGGACTTCCTTGGATGTTATTAGCTATCCGTGAAGTCGTACAAGAGAGTATTGTCAGGGATCTGGAAGGAGTACCCAATTGCAGTGTGAGTAACAAGGGTTTATTGACAAAACCGATCAATACAAAAGGGTAGTGAGGTGCACAGGTAATACCACAACAGGAACACAAACAGAGATAGCTAGGGAAGGCCACTGGAACAGCCTCAGACATCAACTGGCAGAATACTATAGCAGCAGAGGAGGCGGCAAGACCAGGCCGGTGAAGAGACCAGAGCAAGGCACCAGAGAGCTGAGCTCAGATATTTATTGACCATAAACTCTGAAGCACCTCATACACCAGGCAAGGGGACCAGTGGACAGGAATAGGTCAGGACAGGAACTCTAACACCACAACAAGACAAAACATAGCTCCACAGGAACACAAATTACTCCAAGACAGGCAAGAGAATAAACAAAGGACTAATAAAAAAAGATAAAAATATTATTAAATTAACCAACACAACTAAAATATCAACCAAAAAATGAAAACAAAAGATCAGGACTAAGAGAACTAAATTAATACTAAAATAAAAGCAAAAAGACAAAAACAGACCACATCCAAAAACAAGGAGCAAGACAAGAACATAGAATTACAAGTGACAAGACTAGGGCAAGACTACAGTACAAGATCAAACAGACAGGGAGACAGGAACACATAATCAGCCACATCCACAGACAGAGATAAACACAGTGAGGGAAAGAATGACCACAAACCAGCAAAGACAATAGGGCAAGGGGCACTATAAATAGGGAGGAAAACACACAAGGAACAGGTGAGAGCAATTACACTAACAAGGACTCAATGAGGGCTAACAAGAGGGTGAGGTAATGAGGAAACCAGGAGGATGGGCTAAAGAAGCACATGGCTGAGAAAAACAATCAACTAGGCCATGTGCTGACAAGACAACATAGACTCAAGAAACAAAACACAAGACGACCAGAGTGTCAGGGCAAAACCCTGACAAGTATAGGTTTCAGTCCTAATGAATTAGTGTTCGGATACACTGTCAGGGGCCCTATTGCTGTTCTTGCCGATGAATGGAAGACCTCTGACCCACCAGAGAATGAGTGCCTGGTAGTAGCGATGTTAGCTGCTGGCTGATCCGATCCATGTTTAATCACATTTGGGGATTCCTCACCCACATTCATTAATGCTTCAAATCTGTTCTCAAGATGTATAGGGGGTGGTAGAATACCAGTATTCACAAGCCTTGTCATAGCCGAATCTGGGGTAGAGGATGCCACGGCCACAATACGAGAAACTGGTGACCTGGTGATCTGATGTCTCTACTGCCTTTGGGTCTCGCTCCCTGTTTGTGCCATCGATTAGTGTGACAATCAGTTTCAGCTTGTTCCTCTACACTTGGTATAAACTGTTGAGATTGACTAGATTCATGGGACTCATTGGCTGTATGCTGAGTGGGTCCATGATGACAGTCTGCTGTGTGTTCTGCCTATTTTGGAAGTCCAGCAAGTAACTTTGTTTCAAGAACCGCAATCCTTTGTAGAAGTTTGCAGTAGTTCATGCAGCAAGTAGATTCAACAGGAGGCATTTTCTTTCTCTTCTGTTTAAATGTGGGCAGCTGCGTTTTCCCATCTCCGGAATGTAAGCTGCTGGCAGTGGGAGGCAAAAGTCTTCTTTTTCGTGGTATTATTCCAGTCCCAAAGATGTTTTAGTGTTTATGCCAAAAATATGTTGTTTGAGCACTGTGCTGATCTGCTGAAGTAAAAATCTTAGAAAAATCAGAGAAAAGTCCAGAAATAGGGAGCAAAGCGTAGAGCAGTAAGCAAGAACGTCCGAACGGTAGCAAAGCCGGAAGCCGGAAGATGCCCAGGAACGTGAGGCAGTGATCGTGACCATCACCCAGTGCCAGGTAACGACCGCATCCAGAAATGCCTGGGTGATACGTTGTCTATAGCAAGACCCACATCATCTTTACAAAGACATAACGTCAAGTTTGCCACGCAACGTCTTCTTTAAAAAGTAATTGCCCGTAATTGCTCTTTTAGGGAAATAGCTCTTTTAGAGTGCGGAGGCACACAGGGGAAATGGCCGCCTGCAACACAAACAGGGGGTAGTGCAGTCTGATGTGTGCAACCCACTCGACAGGGGAAACCACCACCGCTGAAGCGCCGTACCGCCAACACGAAGAGCTCTCCAAGAGCGCACTGAACTCGTTCAGTCGTCATCTCTCAGTAGCGTAGTCAGGAGCAGAACGATGTGATCACTCGGCTCCGAAGCGAAAAGCGTTGCATCTGCTGCCTACTTATACTCACGCTGTGATCACCGGCAGCTGGATGCAATAATCGCATGCCAATGTGCATTGGCTCGTTTAGTTTACATTCGAAGTAGATTGGTCTCTCTAAGCGAGATCCCAATTCGTCGGTCATCCGACGTGACGTCGGGAGTGACAGACTGAAAGGGAACCAATGATATCTGTTTTCACATTTAAGCACAACTGCTTCAGTTATAATTTGGGAAATTTCTGGCTTCAAAAATTTGCCATCAAATGTAAGGAAGCATATTAAGGTAGCTACATTTATTCATTATTTATTATTTATTATTTTTGTCCGTTTCAATGATAATAATAAAAGTGATTAATTTAAATACAATTCATGTTTTGGTGGGAACAATTGCTTTTTTACATTAAATGGTACAAATCTCAAAAAAGTGTTTAAATGAACATTGCATGTTAAATTAATTGTAAATCATGTTGAGTGATATTTTTACTAGGGAGTTTATAAGTTGTATTATAATGATATACAGAGTAAGAATTAGGAGGGTAAATTTAGTTTTTGAAGCATTATCTTTGGACGTGCTGTAGATTTGCATTATATGCAGGTTTTTTTTATCTTTTTTTCTAAAACTAGTTTGTGTTCATCTGAAGAAAAAAATGTCACATAGCCTATATATGGGATGGCATGGAGGTGTAAAGGATGGATTTTTCACTGTGCTGCAATTGTTGTTGTTACACTAGACATTGCTGTTTGACCTGTGCCATATAGCGTTTTGTTTTCTCCCTTTAACCAAACCTTTGTATCTCTGTCTGACAAAATATGTATGCAGTTTATTTGTAATTCACTTTGCATTGATAAGGATTTCCTTGTTTATTTTTATTTTTTTTACATTTATTTATTTATTTTTTTGCTAAGTTACTTCTACTTTTTAAATACTTGAGTACAATTTAAAAGTTGTACTTTTTTTCTTTCTTTTACTCAAGTACGTTTTGAGCCAGTACTTTTAATTGAGTAAAATTTTCACTGAGTATCTGTACTTTCACTTGAGTATAAATTGAGTACTTTTTACATTCCTGATCATCTTTATTAACAAACCACATACTTAAAGTCTAAACAACTACTTTCGGTAACACTTTTTTATTTTGATTGTCCCTTTTGAACATTCTTTTGACAAGAAGTAATGGTGCACCTTCATGTCTAATTGGTCTCATCAAAGTATTAGTAGACTATTTGCTTAATATCTGCTAACTCTTTATTGTGATGGTCTCCCAACAGACATTCTACTGACTATAAGTAACTTTGCAAGTACATGTCAACTAATTCTAGCCCTAACCCTACCAGTCTACTAATACTCTACTAATACTTTAATGAAAGTTAGAAGACATGTAGGTGCAACATTACTTGAAGTCAACAGAATGTGATAAAGGGACCATCAAAATAAAGTGAAACCCTACTTTCTCGTCTAACAACTGCTAAAACTACACTCGGTGGCACAACAACAGTAGTATTTGCAAAATTATAGTGGATTTGCTCATCCGCCATGAGAGCCGCTGTGAGAAATGCTGCAAGCAGAGTGATACAAACCGTGAAACGGTTCCCGTGGCGATACTTGGTGAATATCACATGGCTGGAAAGATCTCTCAGCTAATCAAATTTAAGGACCAGAAGTAACTATTGCATAAAATGCTTTAATCTGCACCTTTAAGAATTTGTAAATTGTAAAATGCTTTTTCTTTTATTCAAAATTTTCGATGGGGCAACTTGACTTAATGAATTAATTTTCTGTCATTTAGATTCCTGATGATCAGAACTTCTTCTCTGACGATCCTCTGGAGAAACAGTATGTGTATCTACAAGCTCAGTTTCCATCCGTCACTCTGGAACAAGTGGTCATGCTCTCATTCCACTCTGGATATATATTTGTGCAAACAGACAAGCCCATCTACACACCTGCTAGCAATGGTACGATTAAGTGCTGAAAACTTACAGTGCATTAATGAACAAAGTGAACTTTAAATGTCTTATATCAGCATGACATCAATCAATCAATCAATGTCTTATATCAGCATGACATCAATCAATCAATCAATTAATACTACAAAATTTTAATAAGGGGTAGAAAGGTTGACCACAGATGGACTGACAAAATATTGCCTAAAATATCCAGGTTTTGGCTGTTTGCACTCTGCAGATCGATCTTTTTTTTATGACATGCACGAGAGCTATAGAGAGCAAAGCAGACGGCTCCTTATGCTTCCAAATCGCTCTTGTGGTACTTTGGTGTCATTCAATGATCGGTGCGCAGCGATGCTTCAAGTCGAACGAACGAACAAACAAACACGTGCGCGTATTTGCATCACTTTGATCGTTCTCTGTAGATCTCACCTTTTCATGCACACAGATATTTTAGGCAATATAAAAGTCCTGGCCAGGACGTGTCCTGTATGAACGGCACATATGGCCACCATAGACTTTGGGTCAGATAGGCTGATGTTCAATGATATGACAAAACAAACTGTATAGTGACTCCTAGAGCCACTTCTTGTACTTTTGTATCAGTCTATACGGTATCTTCATCTGTCATAATAATATAATGTCATTTTTTATTTTTACAGCACACAATATGTCATTACGGAGATTTACTGTTTTATGCAAAATAACGTTCTATCCATGGGCCTGATTAATTCAATTTTCTCCAAACTTAAGAAAACTCATACTTGATGATTTTTATGTTTACATTGTTTGTTTGAAAAATTAAGAGTCTAAAATGCATTAAAAAAGAAGAAAAACAAAGAATGCATTAAAACATTTTGTGCAGTTCTTTACAGAATTTTCTCTTTGATGCCCAACCTGAAACCACTCAATGAGTCTAAAATCACAGTGGAAATCATGGTAAACACGTATATAACACCATACTGTTATGTCACACACACACACGCATGCTTTCATGATTTTTCAGCTGTCATGAGCATTTGAATATTCAGCAGACCCCATGATTTCTGTCTTGTTTCTGAAGAATCCACAAGGCATCACAGTTTCATCAGAGAACATAACTACAGCCCTGCATATTGAATACCACCATTACGTTAGACCAACTGTAAATGTGTCAGATCAGATAAAATGTGACCGTCTGTGAAATCCAGGCTAAAGTCTCAAAATCTAATTATGAGATGACAAGCATCAAAGTTTGATTTCAACCATTAATTTCACTATGATTTCAATCTTTGACATGGCCTTACCCAGTCAATATTAAAGATATAAAGGTTATATTTTCACAGAATGTTCTTTACATCTTTATGAAGGACGATTTTATGTAGAAAACAGTAAATCACAAAAATAAATAAATAAATAAAAATACTTTAGCTGGGTTTTCACAGGAAGGGTCACAAATTAGCAACTTTTGTTCTTCTGTGGAACACAAAAGGTCCAAGTTGCTTTTTTATCCCAGTACACTGAATGTGGATTTGGATCAGGGACAACCAATGTAACTATTTTGATTATAAAGCAGAAACTGAATGTCCTTTTATAGGTACCTGTTTGGACAGAAGGTGGATGGAAATGCATTTGTGGTGTTTGGTGTGATGGAAGATGAGAAGAAAACAAGTACATCTCTGCAAAAAGTTCAGGTGAGAGACATTAACTTAGACACCAAAAATCACATTTCTCCTCACCTAGAGGACAGTTTAAATAAAAATAGCTTTTTATTGTGTCTTGTAGACTGATGTTGCTGTGTTTCTCATATGTGAATAGATCGTGGAAGGAGAGGGTACTGCAGAACTGACCAATCAGATGATCACTGACACCTTTCCAAACATTAACCAGCTGGTTGGACGATCAATCTATGTTTCAGTCAGTCTATTAACAGAAAGTGGTAAGACTCAACAGATCTGTATGCACATGTTTACCTGCACGTGTGTGATTGTATGAGAAGCTAATGGTTTGTGTGTTTCAGGCAGTGAAATGGTGGAAGCAGAAAGGAGAGGCATTCAGATCGTGACGTCACCGTACACCATCCACTTCAAAAAAACACCACCCTTCTTCAAACCTGGGATGCCCTTTAGTGTCTCGGTATAAAACAGTTTCCGATTTTACATGTTAAAGTCTGAAAATTACTGTAATATTTGCAGATTGGCTTTTCTGGCAAAATACACAATATGCCATACCCACTGTAACGAATCAGCTCATGGGAAATATGAATAATTAACCATAACTAGTTATGATTAATTATGAATATTTTAGATCCGCTGTAGATATTTAGCTGACCACTCAGGGTCAACTGTCTTGTCAATTCTAAGAACGTTAATTTCCTGGTTAAGGGAAATAACTTTCTTACTGTACAATTCTACAAAAGTTTGTAGCGTAAATCACAATTAATCTCCAACATCCCCAATTAATAATGGCTGATCCAAGTGAAATCTGAAGCAACCAATTAAAGAGCGTGTTCACGCATTATAAAATGGTAATTTATCAATAATGTTACAATATCCCTAATCCCAGATATCTTCCAGAATCATAATTAACTTACAGTTCAGAGTAATTGTTAGCTAGAAAGTTAAGATCCTAAAGGGACGTAGAAACAACTGCATAAATATATTAACATAAATTACTTTTTTTTTGTCTGGCTTCTAAAAAAGGTTTATGTGACAAATCCTGACCAAACACCTGCTGTAAATGTGAAAGTGGAGGTCAATCCTGGAGGGGTCAGAGGTCAAACAAAAGACAACGGCATTGTGAAGGTTAAAGTCAACACTCTGGGAGGATCTTCAACACTGGACATCACTGTAAGACCTGCAATCATAACAGCACTGATGTTCAGTCAGTTTCACTGGTCATCTAGTGGAGAATAGATCAGTTAACAGATGTTGAACAAGCAGTGGAGCATATAGTTCACAGCACATCAGAAACCAATGTATTTATTCTTTCCAGGCAAAGACCAAAGATCCAGAGATAGAAGACAATCAGCAGGCAGTGAGGAAGATGACGGCTCAGGCCTATGAGACCAAAGGCGGCTCCAACAATTACCTGCACATCGGCATTGATGCTGCTGAGCTTCAGATCGGTGATTCAATGACAGTGAATCTAAACACTGGACAAATTCCAGGAGTCAGAGGTCAAGATTTCACCTACATGGTAAATATTATGGTTATTTCTTATTCAGCTGCACCAGAAATGTATCAGTTTATCATGTCATTATGTGATGAACTACCATAGCTTGTGTTTGTAACAATATAGTGTCTTTTCACTTTTGCCTCATTTTCAGATCTTGAGTAAAGGTCAGATTGTAAAAGCAGACAGGTTTAAGCGAAGTGGAGAATCACTAGTGACTCTGTCTCTGCCTGTAACCAAAGACATGGTGCCGTCCTTCCGCTTTGTGGCTTATTACCATGTGGGCTCGTCTGAGGTGGTGTCTGATTCAGTCTGGGTCGATGTGAAGGACACGTGCATGGGAAAGGTGGGTCAACCATCACAAGAAATAGATGATGTGCCAAACAACTAGGTCTGACTCAGTGTCTTTCATTGTCATAACAGCTCCAGCTTGAGGTGAAGGAGAAGATGAATACCTATGGCACAGGAGAAGAGGTCAAGCTGCAGATAACTGGAGATCCTGGAGCTAAAGTTGGTCTGGTGGTGGTTGACAAGGCTGTGCAAGTCCTTAACAAGAAGAGACTCACTCAGACTCAGGTGAAGGATCTTTTTCAGATGTTATGGCACAATCATCTTGTTACTGTTTTTCACAAAACATACATAATTGTCTTTTTTGCACCTCTAGATCTGGGACGTCATAGAGAAGCATGACACCGGCTGTACAGCAGGAGGTGGGAGGGACAGTATGGGGGTTTTCACTGATGCAGGTCTGATGTTTGCGTCCCACACTGCAGGAGGAACCAACACCAGAACAGGTACAATTTATTTTCATTATTTTTGAGCTAATTATCATATTATAGATTTATTAATTGAACAAATTTATTTGTGTTTGTACTCTGGAGAGTGTCAAAGGTTTGTTTGCAGTGTTGAGCAGTGCAGCCAATTACAGACATACTTGTTGATCTCTTGAATGGAATGACCAATCAGAGGTGTTCAAGTTGACCAGAATCCACTCAATACTGCTCAAAACAAAAATAGCCTAATATGACTACACAATAATATAATTATATATCACCTGTTTTACTGTGACATTTAAATATATAGCCTATGCTACTCAATAGTTGCCATATATATCTGTGCCAAGGAATTTTTATGGTATCTTATTGCTGATTCTCAACAGCCAACAGAAAACACAAAACATGACATGATTGAAAAAATATTGACATATTGAGTGTGAGGTGGCATATGTGTAATATGCTTAGACTTACAAGTGTTCCAATGGAGGTTGCTTAACCAATTTCAAATTTAGTAATTTACCTCACTTTATTGTTATTGCAAAATCACCATTTTTTTCTTTCTTTTTTGAACTACAGTGTTCACCTGTGTCATGGCCCACAACAAAGTTTTTAACATTTACAGACACTTCAATAATAGCCTTATTAGGTCTCCCTTTGGAAATTTGCCCCTGATTGAGAAGCACTGTTGTAGCGTCTGGAACACTCCAACACACAATATATATTTTGTTAGCTAGATTTCACAAATACTTTGTAACACCCCAGGACGCCGAACAAGACCCTGGTTTCATGGTAACCCGATACATTTACAACCTTGTGGAGGACCTGATTTACAAACATTGATTACTACATGTGGAACCCTGAGCAATCTTGATCCTTTCCTGATCATTTGTACTCAAGTTATAGAAGTCTAAGGAACAAGAATGCACAAAATGTATATGGGCAGATTTAAATATAAATTTGTACTTTGAAACATGCTCTAGATATATTTTTAGATTAGTTTTTGTCCAAAGGAGCTTGAGCCATCCTGAGCTGAGATATCTGTAAACATCAATATAACAACTTTTTTTAGACCACTTGAGATGAGCCAACCACTTTATTCTTATTTATTTATTGTTTGTTTGTTAATCTGTTCACATCTGTTATTTTGCCCTGTTGTTCTTATTGTCTTTGGTCAGACCTTGGATGATTTGTGCTGTGCCTTCTTGTGACTTTCCTGTTGTTTGGTTCCCTGTGTCTTAGTTGCCTGTTTTTTATTTTATTTATTTGATTAGGTTTGCTAAATTGATCTAACTGCTCTTGTGTTCTTTAACATTATTTTTACAGTAATCTATATTTTTTTTCAAATGAATTGTCCTCTAGTGCCTGAGTGTCCCGTTCCTGCAAAGAGAAAACGAAGATCTGAGAGTCTCCTGCAGATCACTAGTACACTGGGTGAGAAGATGGACTTTAATCAGATTCTGTGTTAAATATCCTAAACCTTTATTTTTTTATGTCAATGTTCACTTTTTTATGGTACTTTGTCCTTCCCCCCCTATAGAGGACAAAACACACACAGATTCGGCCAATCTCATGTTAATCTCTTGAGCGCCTATAGAGTTGTATTGCATCCTTCATATCTCCGAAGAGTCTTTAGTTTTATCCGATTTATGAAAGAAAGATACAGCTTTATGCTTCTCTCTGAAAACAGCCAAGCTCCTGGAGGAGTGCCACGGGGTGGAGCTAAAGAGTCGGGATCACTTACGTGCGGATTTCCAGCAAAACACAGAAATCTGATGCAGTTTAACTTACCACCTGCGTTTCTGACTCATGACTGGGATCTTTTATCGCTGGGATAGCTCCATCTTTCAGTATCAAACTATGTGCAAATCCAGCGTTGAACTGGGCCTTGTTTATAAAACATTCGACACCGAAATGATGGGGACAACCAAACACCCCTGATAGCACACATACATCACAGAGACGTCTATTTGACGTCTGCATTTACATCTGCAAGACGTATTTTTTAGAGTGCTTGCTCATCTGCAATACATCTATAGAACATTTCCTATTAGATGTCAAATAGACATTTAGAAATGTCTTTAAGATGTTTATGATTTAGAACGCATGTAAAACTGACATCTTAAAGACGTCTATCAGATGTTTGTACACAGCAGATGCTTTCCAGATCAAGCGATCTTTAACAGACATCTTGCAGATGAACGTGTGCTATCTGGGACACTTGCGAAACTTCATTGCAGCCCCGGAAAAACAAACTGCATCCACTGTTCACATAACATTGGGTTCTTTGGGAAGCTGAACAAGGTTATCTTTCGCTCACACACTTCTTTGGAGACATTCTTCCGGGAGAAGTGCTCATAAGGAATTCTGCCCTTCATGACGTCATGAAGGGCCATGATAAAAATAAAAAAAACTTTCTGAAACTTATACGAACCCGAAAGGAGTATATTTGGCACACAAATACATCATACGTCCAAATAGTTTTTTGAAACTTTGGCCATGCTTAACATGACAATCCAACTCTTAAACTTAAACTCTTAGCATTAGACCTCCTCCCCATTAAGTTCTCATCATGTTCTCCTATTCCCTCATTGTTCTAAACTAACATTGTCTTCTCAGCTGGTAATTACTCCGGTGAACTGAAGCAGTGTTGTGTTGATGGGATGAGGGATAATAAACTCGGCTACACCTGTGAACGAAGAGCCACATACATCATCGATGGTGAAGAGTGTGTCAAGGCCTTCCTGGACTGCTGCAACCAGATGATAACCCGCAAGAACACGAAGACCGAAGAGGAGGAGCTGATTCGGGCTCGAAGTAAATACATTGTGATTAAATTTGTCACAAAATTTTAATTATGTCAAAAGAAAAGCAGCATGACAAAACCCAGACCATTGAACTCAAACCATTAGGGGAGCTGCTTGTGCAGTTTGTTTATTATGTGCATTATTAGACTGTTGGCATTCTTATATTTACTAGAGATTTTTTTTCTTATAAATCGTATCTTGAGGTTTCAGTATTAAAATAATTGTCTCAAATCCTGCTTAAACAGCCACGGATGCCGCCCCCCAGCATCACCAGCTGTCAAAGAGTTAATTTACATTTTTATTCAGCCCATCTGCCTTTTTTTTATTTTTTTGGCATTGGTCTAAGCAGATACATTTTTTACTAATTGTTTCACCGAACAGTCATATTGGTGTCAACACGACTTAATTCTGTAATAGTACAAGTGGATAGTTTTTGGAAAGAATGACAAAATTCATTATCTCTATATTAACTCATTCTTGATTGAAGCGATTTGTACTGTTTTTGTATTTGTTTTGACTTCATTATCTGACATGTTCATTTGCTCTAAAGGGTCTATTTCCTCATTAATTAATTATTTTATCTGTTAAAAACAGGTGATGATGATGATGATGATGACGACTATTATACAGACTCTGAAGATATTGTGTCCCGTACGCAGTTCCCTGAGAGTTGGCTTTGGGAGGTGGTTGATCTACCCACTTCCAATAAAGGGCAAGTATGAGACTTTTAGACACAAGCTGTGAGTTAAAGGGATAGCTCACCCAAAAATCTAATTTAATTTACTCTCCCTCATGTTCTCTCCCCTTTAATTCATCTTCGAAACATCTTTGATTTAGTTCTATTTGATACTATCAGATGCCGACACTGAATTATTTCACTGAATGAAGCCACTGCATTATTTGCTGTAGAGGCGTTTTATTATAGTAACTGAATTAATGATTCCTGGGTGAAGAAATGTATGACAGTGACAGATTCTTCTGTTTGTTGTTGTTGTTTTATACTGTAAAGCTTCTTTGACATTATAAAACTTGACTTAACTCCTTCTGATAGTAAACATTAATTCGAATAGTAATTATTCATTAGAAGATTACTAACCTACTTAGAAGTTATCATCTTTACTTGTCTCTTCCTCATATTCCAGTGGAACAACATCAATCACAAAACCGATCGTCCTGAAAGACTCTATCACTACCTGGCAGATCTTGGCTGTCAGTCTGTCACCAACACTTGGTAAGGAGAAGCTGAAAACCCAGAACACATGCTCTGAAAAACATCATCATCATCATCACCATCATCATCATCATCATCATCATCCAGGAGCTGCTGCTTTAAATCCTTCTGTGTGTCTGTGTTCCTCCTCAAAGGCATCTGTGTGGCAGAACCTGAGGAGATGGTCGTTTTTAAGAGATTTTTCATTGACCTAAAGATACCTTACTCAGCTGTGCGCGGCGAACAACTGGAAATCAAGGCCATTATTCACAACTACACCCCAA